TATGTTTACTTTTGGTTTTGTATAGACTATCTCAAGAAGGATAAATAAGGAACTGCATTAACCCTCCTAATACAGCAGGTGAGTTGTCATTTTAGTTGAATGTCTATGCAGAGCAGGATTTGGTAGGAATAGGATATGGACTGTGAACCTGAGAGGACACCTGTGGGGGAAGGAACAGTGTCCTGTGTGGGGAAGACACCAGAAACACGCCTTGCCTACTCAGCTGTCTCACCTGGGGCTTGCTGGTGCCTGCGGGCCCACTGTCCTACTGACGACGTGTATATTACTATTTTTACTAATCGTGCTGAGGAAAAAAAAATCATTGCCCATTTTTCTAATTGAATACTTTGTAATTGTTACTATTATAGACATTCTTGAAATCCTTCTATATGGGGCACAAGTAAAATGAATGTCCTTTGCAGAAAGTGAGGAGTGACTTCTTTTAAGATAGAGAAAATACCGGTTTCGGAGAATAATCCACCCATCTTTTTTTAAAGAAGCAGTCACCAGCAGCCGTGAAGCCCAGTCACTGCACCTTTCCGAGCTTTGGTTTCCTAAATGTCTTGGTAGCACCTGCCCTTCCAGCCTTAGACCAAGAACTGTGGTTACTGACAAGGATCAAATGAGATAAACTAAGAAAAATGCTTTAAATGAAAGGAAATTTAAATGTAAAGGAAATGCATTGGGGCACCCGGGTGGCTCGGTCGGGTAAGCATCTGACTCCGTTTCAGCTCAGCTCACGATCTCAGGGTTGCGAGATCAAGCCCCGCGTTGGGCTCCGTGCTTGGCGGAGAGCTGCTTGAAGATTCTCTCCCTCTCCCCCTCCTCCCACTCGTGCTCTCTATCTCTCAAATGAATAAATAAATCTTTTTTTTTTTTAAATAAAGGAAACTGCATTGTGCCTAATGAATATGTTGTTATATTACTAGAAGTGGCTCTTGGGTCGTGGTGACGTTTGTATAACCATGCGAGTGTACTTAATGCCACTGAACTGTACACTTAAAAATGGTTAGAAGGGTAAATTTTATGACATGCATATTTTACTATAGTAAAACAATTTTTTAAATGACTCTTGACACTTGTCTGCAGGGTCTGAGGTGCCCCATTTCTTGGGTATGTGGGCATATAGTGAAGCAAGAACATGGAGGCCCCTCACCTTGTTTATGCTCAGGCCTCCAAGAAAATATGGAAAAAGTTAGGTTGGTGACATGGATATTGTCATCACAGCCCAACGATTACCTCAGTTTCCTCCTTCCTAGATCAGTGGTGTGTGTTCTTGTCTGCAGTAGTTTCTTTTCAAAAAGTTGAGGAGGCAGGGATTGGCAACCAGCAAGTCAGAATATATAAATTGAAATCAGTGACTCTCAACTCTTCTGTCCATGACTGTCTAATCATCTCGATATCGAAGCAAAAATCAAAAGACTTAAAATTTCAACTGTTAACAAATTTTAGATAACTAATTGAGTCCCTACAAGGCCCAGGAGGGAATGAACTAGACTGATGGGAATGCAATTGCTTTTCTTTTCTCTTCCCACTCCCTAAAAAGAGTCTAGGGCCAGAGCCAAGGCTGGCTGCCAGGGTCAAAGAAGGGCAGAGAGGGGTCCAATCGAATCCCCAATCCAGACCACCTGGCCTGTGGGTCAGGTATAACCACTTAATAAAGAAGCAACAAAAGCAACAAACAAAAGAATATGCGTGTTCTGGGGATTTTTGTTTTGTGGACAGTATTTGTCTTGGACTAATGTCCTCTGGTGCAAGTCTAGATCAATGGGAAGGGTATGCCACAGTTGGCTGGAAGGAGCTCTAATCCTAGGCTTTCTTAGAGGTGTTTACAGGGTCAAACTTGCTTAGCAGATTAGTAGACACAGGTCTGTGGAATAGGCCTTCAGGTGGGAGCTGAGATTCAGGAGGGTAGAAAGCACTTGGCAAACAAGGCTGTCCTTACCCTGTGCTAGGTGAGGACTGGCTCCCCCAAGTCCTGTTGCAGGGGAGGGCCACCTCCCCTGGCACAGAGGACTGTGGACATCATTCATTTTGATACAAATCCTCACACACACATATCTCAAGATGGAAGCAAGAAACTGGTTAAAGCAAGTGAATTAATAATGATCCTTGCAGACCGCAAGAAGAGTTTAACAAGCTTGAGTTCACATTTCCCTTGTTAATTATTCATCTCCCTTTTTTTTTTTTAAGATTTTATTTATTTATTTGACAGACAGAGACACAGCGAGAGAGGGAACACAAGCAGGGGGAGTGGGAGAGGAAGAAGCAGGCCTCCCACTGAGCAGGGAGCCCGATGCGGGCTTGATCCCAGGACCCCGGGATCATGACCCGAGCCGAAGGCAGACGCTTAACGACTGAGCCACGCAGGCATCTCCCTTTTTAGAAAGAGCTAAGACTGGGAATGCCTAGGATCCATACTTTACAAATGATACAAGCTGAAGCCCTTGAGACCCCTCTGTTCATTCTCAGCACAGCCCCCTGGATGCCTGCAGCAACTCATCCATTTCTGCCAGGCCGGGCCTGGGTGCAGACGGGAGAACGAGCCTCTCAAGCGAGACCTTCCTGGGTTTGTGTGCTGACTTTGCCATTTATCAGCTCTTTGACACTGAACTGTTTGCTTCCCTGTACAATATGTCTAATAATTTATAGCCATCATACAGATGTTGTAAACTTGGGTAGCAATGGCAGTAAATACTTACTGACAACTGTTGAAGGCCCAGGCACTACTCTTAAGTGCTCGATCTGTTCTATCTCTTATAATTCTGCTCAGGTTGGAATTCCAAAGCTGGGTGGGGTCTGAAGATTGGTATTTTTTTCAACATTCCCAGTTAGTTCTCAGATCAGTCATATTGAGAACCGTGGTTGTGTATTCATGTGTAGACATTGACTAACAGCTTAGTTTAAATTTATTGCTCTTCCAACCACATTGTTCATTTCAAATTCCCTAGGGAAGGGAGACTAGTGTGTTTCAGCAGAAAAATCCTTGTGTTTGGTCCAACAGGATTGAGTTTGAATCTGCGTATGTGTTTGAGCCTCAGTTTCCTCATCCATAACACGGGAGACTAATCCCCCGCACTGTGAGGTGAATTAGAGATAATCCAGTTAAGGGTACAGCATACAGGAATTGTATTATTGCCAGTGTTTTGGTTCTAAAATGTGCAAGATGTGAAAGCAAAAGAACAGAAAGCCCTTAAAAACATTCAAACAGGAAACAGGGGCAGAGGGTGGGGAGGAGTTAGAGGATGAGGAAAAGCTGGGGAGGGCCTGGGGCTCTGGGAGGGTGGGGAGGAGTTAGAGGATGAGGAAAAGCTGGGGAGGGCCTGGGAGACAAATCTGCATGTTACCACGACTCCAGGCTCAGTGATGGAGGAAGCACTGGTTACTACTAAACCTAAGAGCACAGCCTAAGGCAAACAGTGTTGTTACCCCTACTTAGGACTGGGCCAGACCCACCTGTTTTCTTGTGCAGGATCTCCCATTTCAGCTAGAGGCCCATTTGGACCCTAGAAGAGCCCCTGCCATATGAACCCATGGGTGGTGTGTGTGTGTGTAGGGGCGGGTGGTGGTGCATGTCATCAGTGCTGAGGTTTGAGAACAGAGGACAATTCCTCTCCTCAGACCCCTTTCAAAGGAGAATGGCATTTTACTAGCCACAGGCAATCTTTAAGTTACAGGGGTTTGAAAATTACAGGGGTTATTAAGTGTAGTCAGTATAAATGCTTTCTGATAAAGCATGTCCAGCTTCCAGGTGTAGCGGGGGGGG